AGTTTTAGTGATTCAGTGACAAATCTAAAATGTATTTATTATGTAAAGCTATCACTCGGGGGGAAAGTTGTGTGGTTTCTGAATGCAACCTGCTACGCCGTTGCTACAATGGTTATTGGTATTAGTAGTTAAGTGATATATTGAGTGTGAGTATCGTAATCACGTCACCCAAACCAAACCGATACCGACGAAAAAGTTGCGCAATTAATACCCCGGCGCTGATCAAAGTATTCGAAAGGCGCTACAGTAGGCACGTCAATTCAGAATATCAACAACGTATTGTCCCAAAACTCTACCCCAACTCCTGCCCCGAGTGTGACCTTAACTTGTAAACAAACGCGTTCCAACGTATTGACTCATCACAGACTCGAAACATCATTCGCAGTTTTCCACGTCAAGACTTATGAAATATGGGATTTCCATAGGATAAACATGGAAATGATGGAAAGCTGAGTCAGCAAGGCTCGCGGCAATGCGCAATAATACACCTTTAACTGTGACTTTGAAATGCTCCATGCGGGTAACAGGTTGCAACCGGGAACGAGAACTGATTGGAACGTGTTCTGGATCTCGTCCAGCGCTCAACGGTCCGAGAAACGGCCTTTGAAATGTCATTATGACGTAATGTCTGAAGATAAATAGGAAAATTTATAGGTACAGCAGTTAATTTTAAACATGGTTAAATTAGAAGCCTATCAAATTCTGATGGAACAACAGAAAATCTTAAAAGATTGCTTTCTTTTCTGTATATAGTTAAAACGGCTGTATAAATCAAACCTAATATTAACTTCTTAGCTCCCTGCCCCTATAACTATAGAGCTCTTAACTCCCCCCATGTTTTTTTTTTCAAATTTATTTATTTTCGGTACTTGAACAAATTTTAGTATTACAATTGAGTAACTAAAGGGCCAATAATTATATTATTGGTTATTACATTTGTATTAAAACTTTCTGTAGAGATTTTTAAGTTAAATGGTTATAACTATTTATACCTATCATAAGTCACTTCATAATCAATACAGAAAGGAGAAAGGAATTTATTGAGAACGGATATCATGCAGTTCAATAATGAAATTGGAATGAATTAGGTTCAACGCAAAATTAAATTGCTAACGTTTAATGCCTGAGTAGAAATTAGTTGCTACTGGGATGATCTTTGTCAATACGTAGGATACCTAGTTTATATTTCCTTAAATGATTGAAGTGTCAATTACAAGGTCATACTTTGATGGGAGAAAATTTTCATTTGAAGGCGGAATTTTGACAGACAGATAGTCGTTTTAGCTATAAACAGACCAAATCTCCTTCACAATTCCCCCTCACAATGACGTAAAACGCGCTTAGAAACCACAAATGAGAGGCTGTTAACCAAAATTGCAGCGTGACTGTTCCACCCACATTCATAGATTCATAATTCATACTCGCTTTAGCTCTCACTTAAATATTTTAATCCACTTACATCTATTTAGATATCATTAAAGATGTATAATGCTAGATATGTTAAGCATTTAATAATTATCACAATTTTTCAATTACTTTACATAATTATTGGATAACTAAAATCTTTCTACACAAGTCAACTATTCATGACACGCGTCACACACTGCCTCAAGAGACACATGTGAAATAACATTGAAATACTTAAATCCTTGAACATGAGAACCGGTTCTCGCTAAAGTGGACACATGAGGAAATATTTGCCTTCTTTGATAAGCAGAATACCAAGGAAGTGCAACATAAATTATTACTTTTATAAATATTAACACGGTGGACATCAGACATAGGCCGTAATGTTCATATAGAAATGGGGCAAAAATTAGTTTTCATTGTTTCTTATATTTATGAAATACATTGTCATATTGTCAATAGATCACAATGTGAGAACATGCATTTCCTAAACATCCCTACACATAAAACAATCACATCGTTATATTCAAAACAAAGCAACATGTTACAGTTTCTGCCATGTCAAATCTACAAACGTGGTACCCTAAAGGCACTGTCTACTATAAGTTGGAGGTTTTCAGCCAATTATTCAAGATTTTCTTGGGCGCATCGTGATTTTGCTATTCCACAGAAGGAATGCCACAACATCTTTTGCTATTCCACAGAAGGAATGCCACAACATCGTCTCAGCCTTGATGCAGTTATTCAGTATCCTGGATTGAGTCACTGGTAATCCCATTCATTCAAGACTCAGCACACTTCAACACCTATACAATCAAGACTTGCAAGTCCTCAACAAGTCTCTCATTGGGATTATCAAACCAAGATAGACTTCTTATTGAACAACACGTAGGTGATACAAAACAAAGGAGTATTTGAAAATAACACTACCAAGGGTGGCTAATTGAATTCATGTTATTGTGGTCCTATAGTACCAAAATGTATACAAGTGATTCTAGAATGGGAGGATACTTAGAATACGCATGGATAAAGCATATGTGGAATGAATGTCAAAATCTGTTACAGCAACCAATACAAAACTTGAAAATTAAAATAAAGGCAAACTTGCGCGGTTTTATGTCATAAAGGGGACCGATGCATACATCTCAGATTACTATTACCAGCTACATAATTGGACTATAATAAATCACATTTATAACCCATAAACAAACAAAAGCATTCACTATTAGTCTGTACTGTATTGTAGTTTATTTAACTAAAAACTTTTACAACTGTATCGAGCATTTCTGATCGCATTTCGAATCAGTAAAAAACTCGGAAAAATATACGCTCCTCCTGGCAATGACAAAACAATTCTGACAACAATGTGAGAATGTTTAGAAGAATGCAAAACACTGCAGAATGTCATGCTAGTCCTAGGACATTGGACATCCCCACATGTTGCATTTTCCTTGTACCAAGGCTAAAGTTGAAACTGGCGCACAACAACTCTGGGAAATTACAGACTACTTAAGCTTCCTGGTTGATTTACGAGCCAAGCTGTTTATTTTGGAGCCTCCAAAAAGCACAATGTTAAAACCTTCCTAATAAAGTTATGACTGTACCAAAACGGTTTTATCAACAAACAATGATGTCTAACTGATTGACACATCCATATAAGAGGGGTTTTTAGTTTACAATCCAAAATATAGACAGGGTGTCCACAGAAAATTTGTCATTATTTTCCATGACCATTTACCATTGATTTCCATGACTCAAGAACTTAACTAAAAAATTATGATATAACATACACACACGAATAATACAGCCTAGACAAGTTATTTCGCATAAAATACTGAAATATTCGTTAACAGGCAACAATGGAGTACAATAGGTACAATAAACTAATACAAACTCAAAACTCATAAACCAATACAACTGTAATAAATTTAATTGTCGGACTTTTGTGAAAAATAAAAAAAAATGCTACAATAGTCGAGGTTATGTATGGCCGACTAGAGCATTGAATGATTCCCTCAAACCTTTCCATCATTGCGGATTTCCATCACTTCCCATGACTATCCCTGACTTTCCAGAATGTGGACAGAACCCCATTAGTAGGCCTATTTAATTTTTTTCCAAAGGATATGTCCCCCGTTGCAATACAATAGGTCTAATAAATTTTTTACAAAAAACCTAATATTTAAAGTATATTACTTCCAAAGCGATTTTTAGGCAAATGAGATGATAGATAAAATTTTTACTGTCACTTACAAGAACTATAGTAAAACATTACAAAACAACTCATGTAGTAGCATTGTAACAAACTAAAAATTACTTTTGTCTACACTTCTTTTCTGTTAATTCGCTAAAAGTTATAAAGCTGAAATCCAATTGCACAATCATTAAATAATCAAAACCCAACTACAAATGTAAGACTACTATTGATTAAAAGAACTATTTTCCACTAACACCTTAGGTTTCCACTACGTAAACCAATTTAACCACACTAATAAGTAGACCAGAAGTGTAAATAAGGCACAGTTCATGGAAAATCTAAGACCTGCTTATCTAATCAGCTTAACCTTTCAGTAGCATAGCAAATAAGACTGGGACAAAGCCATAGTTGAATAGAACTGGCAACCTTTCATGTGTCTGCTGAGACATTAGCATCAAAATAAGTTATTCATAAGCAATCAACTTAAATAATGCACTATTCATAAACACTAGGACCTCCTAAATGTTTTGTTCATTACCCTCATGAATGCAGCCATTATTGCCAAGTCATATACCATCAAAATCAAGCAATTACACAAAAGGCAACAATAACATTAGGTAGGCTACACGATTATGTTACTACACGGTCAGGCATAAAATACATATACTAAATTTGTACTCTCTTGGTGTAATGGGAAAAATATATTAAAAATATAATTACAAATAACTTAAGTAGTAGTCTTTATCTTTGGGTAAATCCCCTAATTGCAGTAGCAGTTTAAATTAAAAAGTTAAAATCTGTAGGCCTAACCCTCAAGATAACTTCCTTGCCAAAAATTATATTTTATCAGTAGTAGACTAATGGTTTTTCAGCTAAAAGAGAAAAAACAGATTTCACCATTAGGAACCCATGGTAATTCATTTGATCTACAGACCAATAACTTACAGATTAAAAGGTCCATATCACTCCCATTTGGATTAAAAGGTCCATAGGCCTATCTCCCATTTAGCAAGTGCCGAAAAAAGTTCAGTTACTAAATAGTAACAAAAAATACCATAAGACAGACGCAAATGACCTGCCGTACTTCATGCACTGGAACTAAATCATACCGCAGACTGATACTTGGATTTTTATTTGGTCCTGATCGAGGACTATCTTCTATTAGGTAATCCTTATCAACCCATACTGCAATGTGGCACTTTCATGTTTTATTTTTGCAGATTGAATTAGGCCTACTGAATTAGCAAGACCGGATTACTTGTGATTCCTTCATTGAGCATTGTCAATTACCGTACTGGTTTAATGGTCCTTATGCAGACGAACTGAATCACAATGAAAAATTTAACCTTACAAACCGCTTTCTTAGCTCTAGTAGAAGGTATAAAGGTGGACTCACCATCGTAGTTGTGGATGTTGGCGATATCACGGTGGATGTAGGAGTGGTAGGGACGATACTGAAGCTGCGCAGACACAGTCTCCTGGTTGGAAACTGGATTGATGATGGCCAACACACACTCTAGATCATCAGCGGCCACGGCGATGTGCAGAGCAGTATTACCACAACAGTCCAACACGTCTGGCGCAGCACCGGCACAGACCAGCAGGCGTGCCAACCGTGGCTGTCTCGTCAGCACTGCCACATGGAGCGGGGTCTGTAACGTAACGTTTGGAGGTTAGTGCTTCGGTCGACAGGCAGAGTAAATATATCTTAGTTGGGATAAGCCTTAAACTCCCACTTTCAACTTCCACTTACAAGTTGGCCAAACAACAATCAAATTAGGCTACATTAGCTTCTTTCCAGTGCCATATTTAAGACGGTTAAATATTTAATAAAAACATAAGACACATACTGTTGCTCATTACACTCTATAAGTCAGTAAAAATGATTACATTTGCTGTCATTAAGCAATAAGGGTTTTGATATCCCAAAAAGTAAATCATTAGGCCCTGATTAAATTTTTTAACCCAGAGACTTCTGACTATGAGATAAATTAAGTGCCAACCATATTGTTTTCTGCAAAGCTAGCTTGACTTGCAAATTCATTCAATTGGTTTTGCAGGCCCATATAGCCTACTGGAAAATGATTTTAAATGTTATAGGCTAGGCCTTTACTTAAATTTACATACTAGCCTAAATAATAACAATAATGTAACTTAGCTCACCTGGCGGTCGTTATTTTTTATGTTCAAGAAGTCCGGGTGTGGAACCATCCGTACAAGAGCGTACACCGTCTCGATAAACTTGTGATAGATGGCCAGGTGTAAATCCCTAAAACAACCAATACAATTTTTTTAAATTTTATATTGTAATATTTGTGATAAATTAACTTTCTAGTTTTTCTTAGTTCTTCCAATGTCCAAGGTTTTGCATGTATAATAATTATTCTTCTTGTATTGCCTCTTGTTACTTTAAGCTAGTTTATGTTACCTATTTTCGGTATTTATTAGATTTGACTAGCCTATTACCTTAATGAGTTAGTCAGCTATTTAGTCATACTGTAATGAGCTTCTTAAAATGTAGGCCTATTTCAACTGTAAAATTTGTGTTAATCCGCTGGCAATAAATAAATAAAAATAAGTTAGGGGAAAGTTATTTCAAATTTTTATGTGGAATGCTTATCAAGGCCCTATAACGGAGTAGTCTAGAGGCTACTGAATAAAGGTCTTACCTTACCTAAATGATTTTTTTGTAATTTTTTGAAAAAAAGAAAGTTGTTTTTTAAATACTAACTCATCCCAGCATCAGAAGATAAAAAGACAGAAAAACTTTTCTCGAAACAAAATGTAGCAATGCAAAATTGTTATAAACTTGAATTCATAAATTGATTAGGTACTGGATTGAGCTTAAAAGTAATTTTAATTGTTAAGTTTAACTAATGTTGCCTACTATACTGTAAAAGCTTAAAAATCCGGCCTAAACAGAATTAAATTTTAAGTAGGCTATATTAGTATCTCAAAGGCATAAGTTAAGTCTAGAAGTATTTGCTACTTACGTGTCTCCATCTTCATTCTGCTCAAAGCAAGCTTTCAGCAATTGTATCCTTTGGAGAGCGGAAGTGTCATCAGATGTGATTGTTGGATTATGAACTTTGTCGTCATCCTGTGCTAAACCCGCATCCTGTATCCTCAGAATAGCATTGGTGTCATCAGATAGCTGGTTGTTCACAAACTGTTTGTTGATATTTGACAACGATCCCAGACAAGAATCTTTTGATTTCGATGGAGGGTCGTTAAGGTTGTTATAGGAATCCTCAACTTCCAGACTTAATTCACTAAACTGCTTACTCACACTCACGTCTATTCCACTATCTAACCTCATGAAGCTTTTGTTATCACAAGCAACTTTGTCCGTAACAAAACTTGAACTGTCGGTTTTAGAAATGGGAGATTCTGGTGTGTTTATCTCCTCAGAGTGAATGTTAGATCCGGACCAGACACCGGAGTCATTGTACGAACACGAATCACTGGTTTTTAAATTTGACAAACTGTCAAGTCCCTTAAAAGTATCTTGAACACTATGAGGTTTTCTTTCATGCGAAAAGTGACCACCTTCACCAGATCCAGAGGTGTGGCCTGAAAAAAATAAAACATTTGGTTACATGACCATATAATCTTAACTCAGCGTGTACTAGATTTAAATAGTTTTAATAGGTACTTAAGGCTAATAACTTAAACAACTGGTGAGTAGGCTACCTCCAGTATTTTTAACACCAGTACTTCCTATACATTAGTCCTCGCCACCCTAAGTTGAGGCAGCCAAAGGCCGCACTAGATACACGCTGTGTGGCCTTGGGCTGCCTCAACTTAGGGTGGCGAGGACTATAGCTTAAAGCTCTCCAGAAACTATTGAACATGCTCTAAGACACCCTTCAAAGGCATTTCCCACACCGCTGAGCATGTTACCAAACAATTTGGGTTAAATAGCATCAGTGCGATGGTTTTCAAGACAACTGTATAGGCCTAGCTGGATTTTTGTGTTTGTATTGTAAAAAGAAGACAAATAGCGGTAACTTAGGACTACTTTCATGTTATACGGAGGCCACTTATTTTACAGCAGGCTGCGGCAGTTATGTTATGTTTGGTTATCATAAATAGACCTATGTCTGTAGGACTTTCCTTGTTTCGTTTTTATAAAACAATTTATTCACCTATTTGCATGTTGAGTATGACCGTATGATCTGTTTGAACTTGTTTTCCTTTTACTGTCATTGTTTCTGATAGGCCCAATGCTTGCATAGCTCGATTTATGTTTTTGATTTATTGTGACTTCCCAGACATATGTTTTGTCTATTAACTAGCGTAAGTTTTATCTAGTTTTCTTATCTTGGTTGAACTTGAAACCTCATTGTTGACTTTGTCATATGCACCTTGCAAATTACGACAATAAAAAGTTTCTGGTTTCTGATTTCGTTATGAATCGAATTGTACCGAATGAATTATAACTAAGTTTACATTTATGATAACACAACCTAACATAACCGCCGCAGTGCACTGTATAAGGGTGGCCTCCGTGTAGGCCTAAGGTCTAGGTCAGGTAAAGGTTAACCTAACCTAACTAACCAAACGATATATCGAATGAAAATATCGAATCGAAAAAACAATCGAATGAGTGTAGGACGTCAAGTAAAGTGCAGCCCTTACTTGGACCAAGCACCCGACCTGACATGAAATGGATATTATGATAACTTTTAGGGGAAGAGTTATCACAATATGTTTATTTGATCTATTTAAAAGCCATTCCATTTGTTTAAGACAGCTACTAGCTAAAAATCAGGTAGCCTAAAGTAACATAGGGCTTAGTCTGAATTAAATTGAAGCATGATGTAGGCTAGGCCCTTTGTTATTGCCTAGGCCCACTAGCTTAGGCTATTGAATAAGAAAATGGATCCTAAATTTTCAAGAAGTTCAATACAGAGTATTTTTACATTTGTTTTATTAACCTATAGGTAGGCCTAGTTAAACACAATGTAAGTTAAGTTATTGAAAGAAGAGCTTGCGCAAATGCATTAGGTTAGCAGCCTTGGAATGTTAGCTTATAAGTGTAAACTGGGGAATTCCAAAGGACAAATTCCCATATGTTGGCGGATTTTTGATTAACTTAGCCTAATTCATTACAAAAACTAAACTTACTGGAGTGGAGGGAGGAATTATCCTTTTTGCTCATCTTTGTAAAATTTATAAACACTAAAATAAATCCACTTTGTTTTTAAATAACACAACCTATTAACACACTACCGAACAGACAGGTCTGTCATCATCGCACACACAACTTCGCTCACTGACTGACTGGACTAGTGGACTGAACTGACTGAAACCGAAAGAAAATCCGAATACGCCAACGTTTCAGCGCTGAAATCGAAATGCCATTGGCCAGACGGTTCGGGAAGTCTGAGTCTTCTTAGCGCATGCGCAGTGATTTCTAAAAGGAATTCCCTCTATTGATGACCCTATTAGGACTTTGTTTACTTTGTCTTGTGGATTAGACAAAATTCTCTTTGACGTCTCTATTAGCAATTTTACTAGTTTTAAAACATTGCATAATCAAATATATAAAATAATTAATAAACACACATTTAATAGTAAAATATGCGCAACAGATAGTTTAGTGAACTAACAATCGTTTGGCGCATTATCTCATAAACATTTTACACTGCTTTGAATTAAATATTACTTTCTAAAATTAATATAAATAAAAACTGTAGAAATCGTAGTCCATGTAAACCTCAACCGAATAATCGTCAACATGCAAAATAACACTTTAAAACGAGGAGATAACATGGTTTTTCAAATGTTTAATTGAATTTGTAACATTTCGATCAAAACTATACAAAGACCTAACAATAATGTCTAAAATTATAAAACATTCAATTTTATTCAATTATTCAAGAGTTCTGCGCACAAATTCTGCGCAAGTTGTTAGTCCTGCATAAACAGAGAACCAAAGGACTTTCTGACATTGAGTAATTGAAATATTTGTATTGAACAAAGGATAAAGCGCGTAATTGGAGGGTATGGCTGGGTTTCCCAGTTCAATTACACTAGCGATACTACACTCAACGGCCTCGAGTTACTAAATACTATTGATAAGGAAAAATGATAAGATGGCCATTTGTAACCGGGAACCCCTCAGATAAGACTAAGGTGTTGGGGGGGGGCTTAGAGAGGTTTGTTATGCATTGTTGAAATTCTCAAGACTAAGTATAACAAGTTATCACTTAGCGCTCCAAGAGTTCATTTTACAAGTTTATTTCGCTTTTTGATTTTCAACATGCTTGCGAAACTGCAAACAATAGATGGTATAAAACAAACCATGATACGAATGGTGTTATGACGTTAACTTTGAATACGTCACAATCAAACCTGTGAAGCCTCTTTTCCTAGTGTCTGTGTGTTTGAGTGAGCTGAGTTTTAATTCTGTGGTCGCTGCTGAGTTCAACCAAATATTACTGACAATACTGACATATTAATTTAAGGATACATTTGACAACGTATGCTCTAGAATATCTCTTCGTTTACTGTACGAAATTCTCAAGACTATGTGTAACAAGTTATCACTTAGCGCTCCAAGAGTTCATTTTACAAATTTATTTCGCTTTTTTATTTTCAACATGCTTGCGAAACTGCAAACAATAGATGGTATAAACAAACCATGATACGAATGGTGTTATGACGTTAACTTTGAATACGTCACAATCAAACTTGTGAAGCCTCTTTTCCTAGTGTCGGTGTGTTTGAGTGAGCTGAGTTTTAATTCTGTGGTCGCTGCTGAGTTCAACCAAATATTACTGACAATACTGACATATTTATTTAAGGATACATTTGACAACGTATGCTCTAGAATATCTCTTCGTTTACTGTACCTGAGGTCGAGCAATACCTTATAAATACTATTTTAGAGAATTTCCCATATAGGGAATAAGCTATTACCGTAGTACTCATGGTAAGACCTGGACCCGGGACCGATTTTTTTTTTGTTTTTAGGTCCCTAGAGGCCAAAAACACCATCCGTTCAAATTCATATATATACAGTATATATATATTTATATATGTGTCCGTTAGCGCGATAACTCGAGCAAAAACGATCCGATTTTGATGCAATTTGGTACAAACGTGTAAACTTACGTTTATTCGAACGAGTTCGCGAACCAGCATGATCGGACCATGGGAACGGAGGTTTATGGGGGGTTTTATGGTGTAAAAATGGGGTTTTCCCACTTTTGACTCAAAAAACATAAAATTTTGCAATTTCTTTCCAAACTATTTTGTAAAGCTTAAAAAAACAAATAATTTAGTAGGCATATTGAAGCGTTATAATGCACCTAATGGTTACAGAGAAAATTTCAAAAAAATGTAAATTTAAAATTCCCATGTTATTCTTATGGAGAATAAGTAAACTGTTGTATTTTGCTTGTTTATTAACATTTTTTGCCCAAATTTGGAAAATGTTTTTATTTTTTACTAACTATTAACATTTTACGTAAAAAACACTTTTACCCTCCCTGTTGCAGCAAACCTAAGTATGTGTTAAACTGATTCTATTTAAATAGGGAATAAATGTGATATTTTTAAGGAGACATTTTAGTGTAAATCCAATAGGCAAATGGAAATTCGCTTAGTCTGCAGGTTTGCTGCGGCGGGGGTATTTTTCTATTAGTATGTCAGAGAACACAATTGATTTGTGTTCGTGATCCACTTATAGCGGATTTTGAAATATATGGTAACGATGTAAATGACAATATAATAATGCTTTTACTTTCTTTGGACTCAAAAATATAGGTGTAGCATGTATAAGTCATAAGTCATTTATTTGGCCAGATTTAGGTACATTAATGCATTGGCTAAGTCAATATACATTTAAAATACAGAGTGTCTAATAAACTATAAAATAACTACTAAACTAAACAATATTTACATGTAATCAATTCATGAACCAAGCATACCATAAGCCCATGACTACCCATCAGCAATAAAATCACGGACACTGTAGTAACACTTGGATACCAGTAATTTTCGAAGTGACTTTTTAAAAATAACAGGGTTTGACTCAATTTTTTAGATGGGTTGGCAATGCATTGAAAAACAGTTAAGTCAAAGAAGTGTACATTCAAATTAATTGGTTTATTTAGCCTATTTATTTCGACGGCAATCGCCATTTTACAAAATAACCCCCCCGCCCTTTGGTGTATTGTGCAATAGCCGTAAGAATTGCAACCCAAATTCTAGTGAAAAAGCGTAAGAGTTTATACAGGACCTGGAACTGTTGAGGCCGGTTGAGACATACGCAAGAACACAATATAGGTACTGTACTGTATTGTTGTTTTACTGTATTTTACTTCAGGTTGCCCCACTAAATCGGTCCAGTAGCTTAGTGATGGGATTAAGAGCATAAAACTAAGATTGTTTTTTATACTACATATTTCGTAAAGCAGGAAAATAACTATATAATTTCGCACAAATTTTTGTTTCAGACCCCCAAACATTACAAATTACCAACAAAAAATTCGTAAACAAACCATAACGATATAGTTAGTAGGGTGAATCACGAAGTCGACTTTTGGACTCGCGCGACGCTTTTGCGGAGGTAAAAATAATCAAAAAGTTAAGTCGGGAGCACGGGATTCCCCTGGGATCGAAATAACGGAGGGAATAGAGCGTCGCATACCGAAGTTATAAATACCAGGGCAACGCACTGCCTGGACCCACACTGGGGCTAGCGTCGTTCCTAGAAAACCCCGAGAGGGTGATTTTGCAAATTTCCCAGACCTTTTGGACTTGGGGATGACGGAAACGAGGAATTTCCTGTAGAGTTTCTGGGGTATGAGTGAATCATTGTGGGCTTTCAAGTTTCAACATTATTTCATGTGGAATACTGTAAGAGTAATTTTTCGATTGGAGATATTTTTAATTGCAGATTTTTAAACTTCTGAAAATGTGAGGATGTAGTTTTGGTTTGAGTCCAATATTGTGTAGTTTCCACTAAAAGGTTTCTTGTAAGTTGGCTGAAGTAGCGCAGTATTTGACCTTTAACTTTGACCATTTAGCACGGCTCCTCCTACTCAGTGTTCAAGCCAAGTGGGAGAAAATTGCATCTCTTGATTCATTACTGATGATAATTCTAGGTGTAGCTTAAAATGATGATTATAATTCTATTTTATGTGGAATACTGTAAGAGTAATTTTTCGATTGGAGATAACTTTGCAGGTTTTTAAACTTATGAAAATGTGAGGATGTAGTTTTGGTTTGAGTCCAATAGTTTCCACTAAAATGTTTCTTTAAAGTTGGCTGAAGTGGCACAGTATTTGACATTTAAGTTTGACCATTTAGCACGGCTCATCCTGCGCAGTCTTCAAGCCAAGGCTGGAGAAAATTGCATCTATTGATTCATTACTGATAATTCTAGGTGCAGCTTAAAATGATTATTATAAGTCTAGAAAGTAGTCTAGGTTGTCGTAGGGTCACAGTCATATGAGTTTCCATGTATGGTAAAAGTCCCAGTATGACGTAGAGACAATAACTATTTCACTCTTTATTATTTTATAAGACCATTACTGTACTGGAATATTAACTAATGTTCTTTCCATGTTTTTTTATGATTCTATAACACAGGTCGACCTTCCGAAATCCAGTGACTCCGGCTAAAACCCAGATTGCCTCATGATGTCTTACTATAGTTCGGCCGCTTAGAAAGCGACCTCCTCCAGCATTTGTTTAGCATAGCGCGCAGGTCGTTTTCTAAGCGGCCGAACTATATAACCCTTTTCCACTTGTGTTCCATTCTGCAGGATTCTGTATTCCATTGGTGTATACTGTACTTCTAACAGGGCCTTAGTGAGACCAACAACTGGGGGGGGGGGGGCATAGGTGGCCCCTACATAAGTGAATGTAAATATGCTATTTGTTGCTTATGTTACCTGGCCTCTAGTGGGGCCTTGCCTATATACTGTAGTAATGTAATGCTGATCGGTTAATGAATTGTTAAAAATTTTCCTTCGTGGCTAACAGCTGTAGAACAAACGATACAGTCTACTATCTCAATGTTAGAGAAGTGAAGAATCTGTGTATATAGTCAATGGTTAATAAAGTTTTTTTCTTAAAGTTTAATAGCGATGTTGAGTAAAACGGACAAACGACGTTAAATGCAATAGCTACATGTTTGGAGCATTCAAGAGCAAAAAATTGGGATCGCAAAGAGAAAAGTTATATAATTCGTTCATTTCTCAATGATGGAAACGTCCGTAAGGAGAAACCAAAATTATTTAGTTTTGTTATCAGTTAAGCCTTAGAATTGAGTCCTCATTTTCTCATCTAATTGTGTATTTTG